ACAAGCTAGAAAGAAAAGGTCACTAAATAGTGCGTAGTAATAATAATAAAGTACACCACTAAAACTACAATTCTGAAATGACTTATTGACCTTCCTTCGCGCACACAGCAAAACCAAAATAAATACTATTAAAATGAACCCCGAAAGCTTCTGTATGATATTAATTGACAAAGACTAAAACAAAGGACATTTTCGCCACATTTAATTATAGTTTTAGTTCGTTTTATAAACCTAAGATGTAGTTTCTGTTGGTTTTAGTTTTATCTTTAAAAAGCATTTTGGTTTTTATTTGGTTTGGTTAATGACAGTTTTTTTTTTTTTTAAACTTCAATTTTAGTTTCGTTATTTTGTTAGTTTGACTATAATAACTTTGGTACACACCCAATAAAAAATTGTACAGTACTAAATTGCAAACCACTGTTGTATTGCATCACATTGTGTTGTATAAGCATCTTTTCATTTCTTTACAAATGATCTTAGGCTTTTAAAATTCAAGGTTCACAGACACATTCCAGTGAATTGGTTATTGTATCATTGAAAGAATGGAAGACTTGCCCCCATAGCTGCAATGACTAACTGGAGTTGCTTTCATACCGTGCACCAGAAGCATAACAGTAAAACTGCAATTCAGCGCCACAGTGATGATTGCTTTCAAAACAACTGGATGTGGAACGACTGTCTCAGGCGTTAAATTTCACCGTTGTCCCGACTTGTGATGTTATGCCTCTGACACCGCGTCAGATGCTGGCAAACGCCGGGTTTGACTTCAACCTCGCCATCCTGCGCCGGTCCCCAGGACAGCAATATGAGGAAAGAAAAGCTCCACTCTAAAACATTTGACATTTCGTAGCTTGGCTGATTGTGCCCACTCGTCAAATTAGTCTTGCCCTAGCATTTTCCCACCACCGTAAAAAGTGACTCATAAACTAAATGTAACCCATTATAGTCTACACCCTTGATTAGGAACATGCGCTCTTCAATTCAAATTATAAGCCAGTCGTGAGTAGTGACCATGTCTTTTTTGTGTGAGTGTGAAAAATACTTCAGCAGGGTAATCACTGCGTTGTGTAGGAGGATTTTAACAAAATGTGTTCAATTTAGTCTTAGTCTTGTCATTAGTCAGATTTTCAGTGGAAAGTTTGTCTTCTACTAGTCAGTAATAGTCTAAACCAGGCCTGATGGAGATTGACAGTTCAAAACCCCGTGATGCTCAACCATCCTCAATGAAGCTATTGAAACTGCAACAGGCTGTATGAATCATTCTGCATACAGTGCTTTATTCAGAGGTTGAGCGTAAGACGGCAGCTTCCAGTTAGTCATAGTTCAGGCAAAAAAAAAATAAAAGGTGGGGGACTTCTCTATTTTATTTGTCTATGATTAAGAAAACAATGAATGATTGACAAAAGTGAAATACGTGTAATAATAAATAATTGTGCCAACTGTTTGAATTAAATATTGTTGGCGGTAAGTCACAAGTTGGATGTGAGTGTGTGCTTTTTTTTTTTTAACCTGTTTTTGCAGTCCCAAGACAAATGCAAGCCACACTGCAGTCAATGGCTAGATGATTTACTAATTGTTTACACTGTGCGATGGAACATACATTGAAGCATGTTTGCGATGGCACTCATTTAATTGCTTTGGTAAAATGTCCACTTCGGCTTGTTGTCGTAGCAACGGTTAGCTTGAGAGAGAGAGAGAGAGAGAGAGAGAGGTTGAAAAGATATAAACATTGAAAAGAAATAAAATAATGGAATAAAGAGGAGGAGGGAGGGAAAGTATCTAGTATTCTGATTTGATTCAATAGATTTTCAGTGGGCTGATTAAGTTTTTTTTCCCATTTGCAAGCATCGAGCTGACGACAAACAATACGGATTGTACGTCTTACAACTGTGCAATTGGCGGAAATCTCCTGAGCCTCCTGACAATTTGATTCAATTACCGATGAATGGATGCATTATTTTATTTATTTATTTTTATCCCTTAACAACCATCCATTCTTTGTGCTTGTGATCTGAACGTGGAATGTCCTTGGCATCCTCACTTTTCCCCCCTTATTACCTTATCCCTGCTCCTCCCCCTCTATGCCACGGATTCTGTTTCTGGACCTGTAGGATAAGAATCTGAGGTATGTTCGTCATTTTCTAGCTGAGAGGACTGCGGCCTGTTAACATAGACGGACGGGGCGGGGGGTGTTTGAGAGAAAGATGATGGAAATGTTGGAATGGAGTTTGCCCGGCAACAGTTGAAAAGCCCGAGTTTATTTGCTCGCCGAGATTATTTATCTGGTTTCGTCTCACTCACTTCATCCAAAGCTGCCTTTTGATGATGCAAGAATCACGTGACCTTGCAATTAGTACGTGTAGCAGTAACCACCATTAAAAATGCATGACGCTCAACTGCAATTAGAGTGAGTTGTTGCTGAAATCAGAGCAGTCCTGCTTCACCAAGATTTTCTGAAAGAATGTCCATGTTTAATCAACCAACAAAAATATCTGTGTGGAAGTTTTGCATTTGAACTTGAAATGAGTTACTGTGTACAACAAGTCAAGATGTCCGAGGTTGATGTGGCTGCGTGACTCATGGAGGGCGTTGGCTGCAGATGGTTTCGGTCACCACAGATGGTGCAAGTCGGGCTCGTCACCGTATGACGGACAGGTGGAAGGCCTGTTAGTTGGTTTCCATCATATCATATCAGGGGTGGAAATTGTGGACAATCTTGTGATACGATACTATAGAGATATTTTGCCAATGCTAACAGTACAGACATGATCATCGATACGTTGGGGTGAAAAATGGAGAAGGCAAAAAAAAATAAAAAAAATCAATTTATCATTTAATATCAAAAGCTAAAGAAATATACAGTACCATGACCTGTAGTCTTTTTTTTCCATTTAGAAACAAACCAGATTAATAAGTATCAGTAGCAAATAAACATTCTGCTCAACCTTTCTCATGTCTAAGCTGCAAAAGAGAGAACACCATATTCTTACATTTTGAACCACAGACCTATTTTCCTAAACTGAAATGGATCATTTTTAAAGCCTTTTTGATATTCCTTTTATTCTTTTCTGTATTAGAGTCCTTGAGGAAGACAATTTGCTCCTCCAACTTTTAATGATGTGGGACGTGATATTCATTGTGTTATGACATTTTCAGGCAGTTTGAAGGCTGCCATAGTGTGCTAATAGCACATACTGTCAGATTACACCCACTAGCCAGTCATAATGTGACCACAGTCTCGAGGCATATCAATAACAAATGATCTGTGCAATAATCTGCGCTTCAGCAGCCCATATCATAGGAAGAGAAGGGCCTTCTCAAACTACGCGTAATGGTGCAATTTGGCAGGTATATTTTCCAATGGCTTGCGCTGCATTGTACATGGGGTGATTGTGTGCCATTTTCATGTTAATAGTACACTATAGTGACATGCAACCCGATAAAAAGTGTTCCTCCTTCAGGGAAGAGGATGATTGGCCTATTTTCTGGATACCAGATCTTCTCTCCCAAGGGCTGCTCTACGTTGAGTTGTCCTATCATGGCAGCAAGCTAGCCTGTCTTTTTAAAAGCAGTTAATGTGTTCTCAAGTATGGTTTCGGGAGCTTCGTAATACAGACAGTATGCTCTTCGTGTGTACTGCATATTGTTTTCAGCGGGGTGCAGTGTTGGATGACGCGACATTTCAGAGGGCTACGCTTTGATTCAGTCACTCAATCATCGAAGCACGTCAATGTATTGAGGATGATTTAAGTCTTTCATTTCTGACCAGACTGCCCTGTGTTGCTTAACAAATTCACTGATATTCTCTCCACTACACTGTGACAAAATGCTGTAGCTTAAAAAAAAGTTTCAGGCAAATCTATTTCAAGATGAATGGTAAAGAAGTCATTGGAACAAAGCAAAGTTCTGCGTATTGTTTTTGCCTAACCCTATAATGCCATTTGTATCATATTTGATACATGCATTTTCATTATGCAACTCATTCTTTATATTACATTGAATCATCTGTATCAAATTTGATACTGCAGGTTTAAAATATGATTTCCCCCAAATTTTACAAAATACAAAATTCTACATAATGCTTATGAATGGAATACGACAAATATCTAAAACATGATTATGGCAAAAATATTTTTGTGGATTTTGTTACAAGGGTTAATGAACATCTCAGTTCCCAAAAATCTTTGGAAAAAAAAAGATTTTTCTGGCTATTCCTGAATGGTAAAGAAGTCATTGGAACAAAACAAAGGTCTGCGTATTGTTTTTGCCTAATGTAGCGTCAGGTTAATTTTTTTTTTTTTTAACTTATATGGGTATCTTTTAATTTTGTGAAGATCCACTTGATTCTTGTGAATAAATCTGGAGATTCATTTAAAAAAGGAAAATGTCTTGGCTCGTTTGATGTTAGTACAGCACCAGAGTAGTTCCTTTGTGGTTGACAGTGACTTGCTTTATGACAATATCTTGTGCGTTGCAGTGCTTTTGCCCATTTAAAGCAGCCTCTTTTAAGTCTTATTGTTTCTGTGATTTCATTAGTGGCAACTATTGCAATCACCGCACATGGAAGGATACAAACATTTCTCACTCTGCCATCAGGGGTTTCAATTTAATTTTATTCATAAAATATTCACAAAGTCATGATTGATGCACTGACGACACAGAGGCTCACAGCACCAACACAACATTTCTTGAGTGCACAAATGTGTCATGCTCGAGTCAAAGCCCTTACAACAGTCACAGGTGTTTGCGCTAAAATCAGCTTAATGCAAGGGAAAGAGAAACGGATGCTGGTTCATATTAGGATGTCAACCTCTGTGCATAATGAGCTATTCAACGGAGTACACTCGTTGTATTGTAACACACACACTGTCGTAAAAGCGGAGTGGCACAATGGTGCACGTCACGGTTAGTTTTGAGGGCTGCAGCTATTGCAAAAGCAGCAGAAGCAGTCATTGTGCAATGAAGCCACTAGTGAAGCTACCAGTTGTTGAGAATCTCCCTTTTTTTTTCAATTTGATGTCAAAGGGGTTACTGTGCCGTCTTCACTGCACTTGTGGGGACTGATGTAAAGTCAAATTAGCATCGGACCATTAAATGCAATTGGACTGACTGGCAGAACAAACATTGAAACCAAAATAGCATTCCTTGCAGATGATGCCACTCAAATTATTCTGGCCGATTAAATGCTTTGATTGTGGGCCAACGTTGTGCAATGAATTGTGAAGATACGGTTTAAACATCAAGTGAAAGCACACTCTTCTTGAACTCTTCTTTTTCCACTAATAACAAATCACAGCTCAACATGTATTACGAGACCTTCAAGTCAAAATCAAATGTTGGAGGGGTGGTGGTGTAATCAGGCACTGCTTCTATTTTTTTTTCTCCCCCTCTGGGTGTCACACCTCTCTTCTTTCTTCCAAACTCCCTCTCAGCCTATTTGACAAAATGCAGGGCTTCAGCTGCCACGACAGAGCCTTTGCTGCTGTCCAGGCTGGTGACCAACCTGAAGCCAGATCTCAAGGCGAGCATCACGGTCTCGAGTTTCAGGCAGTCAAGCGTGCACAAGAACGTGCTGTCCTCCTTCAGCACGAGCCGCGAGCCCGGCTCCGACTTGATGAAATGTCTGAACTGGATCACGTTGGAAGACACCTCAAATTCTTCCGGAAACCCATCCAGGCGACTCTTTGAGATCTGCACCAGCCGGCCTTTGACCTTTTCGATGAAGGTGTGATCGCTGCAGTACACCTTGAGGCCTTGTGACCTCTCGTGGCTATCTGTCATCTCCAAAAAGGCAGGCTCCCGCTGGGCAGCCCTGTGACTTTCCCACTCAGCCACGGCCTCGACAAGTTCAACCAGACGGTAAAAATCGGCCTCTCTTCGGAGGAGCCCCGCCTCCCGGAAGTCGTCGGGTAGCTGGAGCTCTCCGGTTCGCAGGTAGTTGAGCACATGCCGGAAAACTGGACCGTCTCTGTCAATGAAGGGGTTTCCCATGGAATCCATGTGCTGGACGGGCTTCTTACCATTGGCCAGCTCTTCCAGAAAGGTACCCTGGTGCTTAGCGAGGGTGCTCCGGTGAGCGGTGTACAGGAAGCCCCCGACGTTGATCGTGATCGTGCCTGACGTGGGCTTCTTGAAGCTCTTGCTGGGCTGCAGCAGGTCTGGGTTGATGTGTCTCAGTTCACTTTCCATTCTTCTGAGATTCCATTCCATTCTCACCTTGCCTCTCCAGCTTGGACCCCAGCCTCCTCAGAGCTGGCGGGTATGCATGTGTGCGAGCCGCGCTGATTGGATCGGTGGTCCTCTTTTTTCTTTTTGAGATGTGAGAATGAGTCTCTGACACTGTGATCTGTCTTCGGCTCGTGCGTCGTGATAGCGGGTATGTTTAAAAGTGTAGAACGGTAGGCGGCTGAGTCCTGTCAGGCAGAGGAGCTCCTGTGGACTGATCGTTCGAAAAAGAGAAAGGGTCTCTATACTGGTCTCCCTCCCTCCCTCTCTTTCTCACACTCTCTCTCTGTCTCCCTCCCCTTGAGTGGGTGGGCAGACAGTAGCTCTCTCTCTCACACACACACACACACACACACACACACACACACACACACACACACACACACATGCAGACAAAAAATGAGTATGTGAGTAAATGGCAGAGGGGTATGAACTCCAGTCTGTTTTTTTCACTCACAACAGGTACAGAACTAAGTTCTGGCCATTAGTGTGCACACTTACACATTCGCATCCTCTCATGACTGAAATTGGGACTGCGTATATAAAAGATATTACAGACTTGTTTTTCCTCTGCTTTTGTTATGCCACTTTATTCACCGCTAATTGCAAAGCAACAACGTGTTATGTTAATAAAGTAGGTATATTTTATCTTGCACCCTATCACTCAAGGCTTCTTTTCTTTGGCAGCACATCGTGCACACACGCGTGCGCTTGTTTGTATTTCTTGGGCCGATGGTGGCGGAGGAACATAAACGTGAATTGAGGTCTACACTCTTTGGACCTCCACAATATACAGCATCAGATGTTAATACGTAAATATAACTATTCAATTTGTCATGTGATCCTCTGAATGACAGGTACTCTCAAGTGACAGGTGGTCCCAAAATTAAGAATGACAATCCCTATTCAAAACCTGAAACGGATTTTCACAGGTGGGGTTGTAGTCTTTGTCTACCATGTACAAGGAAATACAGACAGTTTTCGCATCATAAACAGCTTGCGGAGTCCTTATCAACTACACGCCGTCAGAATTGCAAACGAGCCAAATTTATCTGGGTGGACTTGCTTTCTGCCTTCTTGTCATTAAGATGGCCTGTGGAGCATGCTCATTATTTGGGAGGAAAAAAAAAACACGTCAGGATGTGTTTGCACAGCAGTTGGAGCTGACTGAATTACATTTCCCAAAATGCTGCAAAAAAAATAATAAATTACAAAAAAGGATGCTCCTTCCCTCTTTAAGGTGGTGAATAATTCATTAAGGAGCAGTAAGAGCTCCTGGTGAAACATGGAGTCACTTGACTGCTGTGAAGCTGGCATGGCAACCACTTAAAATAGGGTCCTCTTTGAGCTCAGAGCTGTCAGTCTCGTCTTTCCTTGCAGAAGCCTTTCTTTGGCACAGAGCCTGCATGTGTAGATCATATAATTGACCCAACTAACCCAAGTGTTTGGAAGGTAAATTTAAATAACGAAATGCATCAAAAACATCATTTTTTTTCCAGTGATTGACTTGTCTGCACCCAGCTATGATCAGCACGGCCAACCATACGGCTTGTTCCTCACATCAAAATGCAGTAATTCTCCTAGAGCCTAAATTTAATTGAAGTGAATTCTTATTTGGCATAAGAGGCGACTTATGTTCATTCTGATAAAAATAGACTTCTTAACATTATTTACAAGTTGAAATGCTGATAGTTCGTGTGTATAGAAAATCATTGTAATTATTATTTGTCAGTGGTTTAGATTGATTGCATTTAAAATGCGTGTGGATATTTTATAGGACATAACATTTCGTATAGCTTTTATAATACAATATTGAAGATTACATTGTGGTTGTATTAGTTACTTCCGTACCTATTTGAATGCCTATTAGACTGAAGCAGCTGTGTGGTAATGGGGTCAGGCAGCATGGTCTCGAGTCACACAGGTTTTCCATTTTTTTTTTTTTTTTTGCACCACCCATTTAATTATCAGTAAACTGAACCAAATCAAGAGGAGTATGTGGACATTCATTTCATCGACGAACTTGTGGACAGTGTAGAAAGTGAGATTGGAGCCAAAATATTGATTACGAACCTACACTTTCCACCTTTTACCTTCTCAAACATATTGGGGAACTTACAATGCGATGGTAACTTTTCTGAATAAGGGGCCACATTTTGTATTGTACTTCGTCCTGTCAAAAAGACGATCTTACGGCGAACAAAATGATATGAATGGTACTGATTGGAATCATTGCATTTCCTTAATGAGGCAGCCTCCGGCCTGCGCAGATGAGCTTCTAATAATAGGATATTATCTTTGGAGAGCCAATCAGCAAGTTGCACACTTGCATGCAGTTTGCTTCCTCGTTAACATGAACAGGCGACGCTTCATCAGCTGCGTTTGCGTGTACATTTGCTGGCGTCAGGTGGAACCCTCGCATTTCCAAAAGCATCACTTTTCAGGAAAACAAAAGCAACATGTTTGTTGAGTCATTAACGTTGCCTCGTTAAAGACAACTGGCCACACTTTGGATTGGTCACTAATTTTGTGAAAATAACAGACCCTCGTTGGGACTGACCAATAGGATCAAAATTGGACATATAGACAACTGGCCACACTTTGGATTGGTCACTAATTTGTGAACAGACCCTCGTTGGGACTGACCAATAGGATCGAAATTGGACATACGAGGTTTCCATATGACAGTGACAATTTGTAGCATGTGTTCACGTTGTTCTTTTATTTGCGTTTTTTTTTTTTTTTTTGTGAATGAATAAAGATGTTGCTTCATTCACAAATTTCACAGATTGCTATGTATTTCATCTTCGTTTTCTTTTAATCTTTTTCTATACATTGTGATGAAAGTCGGTACGAGCTGTCAGGACCAAAAACAGCAACTAAATAATACACTCATCAATTTGCATTCTAACAAGTCCAGCGCATCTGCCATCCAGCATGGCCGCAGCTATTTAAAGCAACCGCATTAAGTCTTCTCATGTACATGGAGATTTGTCCCGGTAGATTACAGAGATAATGGTTAGTTGACAGGGCCTAACGTAAGTACAGGGAGGAAAAAACGACTGAAATGATCACGCACAGTAGAAAATGTGCCTCCAGGGTAAATGGCGACGGCACGGAAGTAATCTATTTTGATTGCTATTGTATTGACCGCGTGTCTTTTGGGCTTTGTACAGATGTTCGGAAAACTAATTGCTACGTAGCTCATACAGCTAGCATTGCCTCAGACTGTAATAAGGCTCTACACGGCAATTAACGACTGAAAAAAAACCCAGATGCTTTAGGGCAACACTATTTGGACATGCATCAATGTAGAAAGCTAGGAGACATATAGCCTGTGTATTTATCAGATCATGTTGTGTACGATAGATGAGGAGAGCAAGGTTAGACACTGGTGGCGGATGGAGGCTTGGTGGGCGGCTTGCTGTTTGTTGTGTGAAACATTAGGGAGGTCAGAGCTGCAAGCGCAGGACCTTGAAACAGATGGAGGTGTGAGCCGAGTGTGAGGGGGTGTACGGTTAACCTCTCCCTCGCATCCGTCTCTCTGTCTTCACTCCTCTCATCCTCTATTCATCTATACCCTTAAAGAATGTGTAAATGGTCTCTCTTCATCTCCCGAAATACACCTCTCAAATCATGCAAAAAGGCAAGAGTTTAAACCGCTACCGTGTGAGCCATAAGCGTGCACCAAGACTTTTGGCAAATATCCAATAATTAATCATGTTTGGTTTTTTACGCTTATGGGGGGATGAATCCTTCAGAAGAGGCATTTGGTGTAAATGACCTGCTATCGCTGCATTTTGTGGCTGCATTGTTTGTTGCTGAACATGGTGTAGTTTGCAGCAGGCATCTCATTGGGCAGCTATAGGGTCCTCAGAAAGTTTGCGGCAGTTACGTTTTGTTTTTATGATTGTTTTCATTTACATCGTAATTTTCGGATTTTTTTTCTGCCACAGAAAAGCAAATGATGGGTTCACTTTTTGAAAATTGGCTCGTGCAAGAATGTTGGTAAAAATATGTGCGAAACAACTTCACTGGTTTTCACATTTTCCTATTAGCAGCGGTTAACACTTGATCGTGTTGGCCAAAGCACAGATTTATCACTGGAGATTTTTATCGTGAAACATGCATGCTGGACTCTTTGTAAATCTCAAGGGTTTCCTCCCCCACACCGGAGCCTTGAGATCCCTCTCTATGTGGCTTTTCCACCGATTTTCACGTGTGTTGTGCGTGGGTGTCGCTTTAGTTTCTGTTTGCTGGCATGTGTTAAATCCAATTCTTTCCTTTAATTGCCTGCCTTGAGCAGTAAACAGATCAAGATCCTCTCCTCTCTGACTTCTACTTCGACCCGAGTTGTTAATGGTCTCAATATTCAGAACCCACCGACCGTAATTTCTTTGATTGAACCTCATGCGACACATGAAGTTGGACAGCATGTGGTGGTTGCTATGGTGACCGTGGCGATTGCACCCGCACTAAATGATTCAAGGCTGTTTTAAATCAAATGACACTGTTTGCAAGCCACAATCAGCTTTCAGCCGACAAGCATGAACTCAGCGAAAGTGTGTACTGAACATATGTATGCATGCTCATCATTACAGACTGAGTCACTACTACAGCAAGGTGCAGCCATTTTTAAAGTAACCATCTGTTTTTTTTGTTTTTTTTTTTTTTTGTGGAGCGCAAGTAGGTAGGTCACAGAGTATTTGGACACATTGACAAATGGTTACCTGTGGGCTTTGTAGAAGAGTAGTATTGGTTCCTGTACTTTAAAGCCCATAGTTTACCTTATACCTGAGCAACGTTCATATCGATGGTCTGTATTATCTGTTCATGTTTTGCTTTCTGCTGCTTTGTTCATAACACATTTTGGGCAATTCCTTTGAATCAGTCACTTGGACATTCAGGCTGAACATATTCAACAAACTGTATTTTATTTATTTTTTTTTTTGAGTAGTAAGTCAGACTTTTTTTCATAGATTGCCTGGTCCTGTGACTTAGTCATGTGCGATTTGTATTTATTAAAATTAGAGCTTGGACTGGCACCCAAACGCCCCACTCCCCAAACGTTTTGACTTTCTTTTGGCGATTGGCCAGTACTTTTGGTGCATCACCGCCAGAATGCAGTCTGAATAACCGAATGGCACATTTGAACAATACTCTGATTTTCAAAACAGAGTGAAGCAGTGCATGCTGGGGCCAGTTTTTCTGAACGCAACCATGAGTAGGGAACGGGAACCCCCCCAGACGTGAATCCAAGCTCCACGCTTCTTGGTCTCGGTTTTTGTCAAATAAATTTGCCCTCAAAATGTACTCAAAAGCGACATTTTTTTTTCTTTTTTTCTTCTTCAGGATTCATTTTTTTGGCTTATGTGACTTTATACCCAAGTCACTCCACACTACTTTTGACTGAAGGCAACCACATTGAAGAATTTGTGTTGCCAGAGGGAGATGTTGGTGTAATCTGTCTCCTTTATTGATTGGACTTGTTGCCGTTTATCCATTTCACCTTCCCTCCCTGAATAATGAGCATCAGAGGCCTTCGCAATAAGATCAATAGCTTTACTCAGTCGACAACGCAGTCTGTACCACTGTCAAATAGTAAGCTCTTTAAACTCAATCTAAATGTATTTAGCAAATAAATTTAATCTTACAAAAAAAAAAAAAACATTAATCTTAATGTCGCTAATCATTTAGCAAATAAATTTAATCTTACAAAAAAAAAAACATTAATCTTAATGTCGCTAATGTTTGGATGAAAAGTAAGGACGAACTTAATTGGTCACACACTGGAAATGTGAGTTATGGCAGCATGAATGAAAAATGCCCAAATGCAATATAACCATGGAAAATAGATGAAATCTACACATTCAAGGTTAAAGAGAGGAACGGAATTTTAATTCCTTTATATGTCCTTTGATAAAGCGTATGTATTGAAAACAACAAAAATCTTTGAATTCCAAACACCGCATCATTTAAATGTTTACTCATCATGCTATTTATTTCAGCATCTGACTTTAAGACCATAATTTAAAATGTATGATAATTGAGCTAATTAAATGTTGAGTACATAAATCCACATAACTTATCACTGGCACATGTACATTCAGGCTTGTCAGGACTGCCTTTTGTCAGTTAATTCTTAGTGAAGCAAAAATATTCTCCACTAATAAAATAAGAATTATTATTATCTCTACACAGTGTGCCGTTATCAGCCGTGAACACAAAAAGAACAGTTGCAAAGACTGGTAGCAGTTGGCGTGTTCCGACAGGGGATCCTGCTGTGCCACTATCGCCGCCGAATGTCGTCACTCCGAGAAGACGTCATGCTTCACACGTTTTTTTTTTTTTTTTTTCCTGGGCCTCGCTTGCCCACACATTTGAAATGCGGAGACAAGTTTACGTTGGCGCGCATCCCTGCGCAGTCAACTCATTCGCACGTCAGAGGATTCTCCGTCTCCTCCACGGGTCATCTGGACCTCCTGCAGTCCTTTGAGCATCTCACTCAACAGAGTGTAAAATGTTGCGGCTTCTCCCAAATGGTGCATGTCCACATACAAACAATGACTAATGGAAAAACAAGAGTGCATAAATCGGCAAGCAGTTGTCATTAGTACAACAACAGGCTTAACAGTTGGTTTATTCTGAAGACGATATATCGATTCCACGTGACTTAATCATCTATTGACATTGAACATGTTTCGTTCTTGGAGTTTGCGTACTTTTCACCACCTTGTTATTTCTGTTGTTGTTAGTTTCAAATGGAAAACCAAAAATGGATAACGGCGATAAAATGGTCATTTTATTTAGAAACGAATCAGGGCTTTGACACTGCTCAAACGGGTCAACAGTAAGCCTGTCCTGAGTAATTCCAGTTAGAAATGAAATTGAATCAGCGCACGTTGAACCGAATTTGCAGCTCCAGTGCTCAACACAGGAGAATGTAGCAGCACATGAAGATGACTCGTAGGAGGTGGGGTCACTCACAATCTGTGAGTGTGGCAGCTGTGGGTCTTTTTAAGAGCATGTTATCACTTGTGTAAATGTAATAGCCCTTTTTTTTTGACACAGTACCATATTTCGGATGAAAATGTGCAAGCAATATTCTGTAATTGCATCGTCCTAATTTGTTTGCCTACTTACCTCACCACAGCACTTGAGTGCGCATGCTGTAACAGTTGCTTTGTTGCCCCACGGTAATGCTTGTCTTGTGATCGACGCACTTAACGATGTTCCAAAATCAATCCTATCGGGAAATGACAAAGAATCGATGTCTAATATGCTCCCGCAAAGGTCACATCGTTTTTCCATAACGACACAAATCTTCATTCTCGTAGATGAGCTCAGTCTGGAGGGGATGGTGGTGCACAGAGCTGAATGCAGACCCGTCGTCACTGACAACTACATGAAGCTTAAGAAGTGAGTGGTATGCGAAATGCACAACTCATGTGGACAAACAAATATGACGAACGACAAAAACAAATGACATCACACGTCGGTGTCTTGAGTTAGTTGCGGTGATCTGCCATGTGTGATAGTGGCACCTAAACATGCCACGACACAGGAAAGCGGCGGCACGGTGTATGCTTTTTTCCTTGTGTGTCCATCAACCTGTGTTTTTTTTTTTAAACCACTTACTGACATTGGTCTGCTTTTCATTGGAATCTCCTATTCAGGGCAAATTAGTGGCTGGTATCATTCTGACAAACTATCACCTGCAGATGCGGCAATACAATGCAGTACAATGCAAACGCAATGCCGTTCGCTTAGCTGTTTCAGACTATTTCTGTGTCCTCCATTAGTTAACATTGAAACTGACAAAGTGCATTGCAAGAGCACACTTGCTGGAGAGCATTGGTCCTGTTGGGGATGGTGGCGGTGGTGGTGGGGGCGGGGGGAACTCATGTGTTCAAATAACGCACTGATCATTTTGCTTTGGATGCTGGACAGACGTCACAGATGGCCACATTTTAGTACACAGTGATCTGTCCAACAAATGTCCTTCCATTAAGGCAAATGAGGAACAAGAAAGACTTGCCACATGTCATGATTTAGCTTGGTTTATATTAACTTATCTTAACTGGAGATCGATATGTAAATATATACGTGCTTAGTGTAGTTTTAAACATGAAGCGGTGGGGCTCTGTTAGTTATACACTCGTGATAAAAGTACAATACAATACATCTTTATTTAGCGCTGTCACAACAGGTTCAGCTGTTGTGAAAGTGCTTTACAGAACAGTTAACATCCATCCATCCATCCATCCATCCATTTTCCGAGCCGCTTACCCTCTCAGGGGTCGCGGTGGGTGCTGGAGCCTATCCCAGCTGTCTTCGGACAGTAGGCGGGGGACATCCTGAACCGGTTGCCAGCCAATCACAGGGCACACAGAGACGAACAACCATCCGCGCTCACACTCACACCTAGGGACAATTTAGAGTGTTCAAGCAGCTTGCCATGCATGTTTTTGGAATGTGGTGGGATACCGGAGTATCCGGAGAAAACCCACTCAGGCATGGGGAGAATATGCAAACACCACACAGGGAGGCCGCAGCTGGAACTGAACGCGCCTCTGCACTGTGAGGTCGACGTGCTAACCACTGGACCACCGGGCTGCCCTAACAGTGAACATAATATAACACAACACATAACATAAGACACAGGCAGTCATGCAATCTTAACCACTTTTCCTGCATACGCTTTTTTGTTTGAAGCAGTTATAGATGAAAGAGGAGAGATTCAAAGTGTCCTTTCACCAGTGGATCAGAGACGTCAGGCTCCAAATGTGCACACGTCTGCTGCAAGCTTAAGTTAGAAAGCAAACAAGAAGTAGTAAATATTGTCTAAAAAAAAGAGGCTTCAAACTGTGCATAGCCACTTTCAGCTGAAGGTTACTGTCAAACTAAACATAAAACAAAGTGAATTCCACATTGCATATTTAAAGTAACCTTATAGCCTGCGCTACCCGGATGCTAACATGTAATTGGATACTTCACAGTCATATGGCCCAACAATTAGCATCTATAGTCAGGTCCATAAATTTTGAACCACAGATACAATTCTCCTCTTTTTGCATCTAAACACCATCACAATCGACGAAATGAAAAAAAAAGACAATCAGTTTTAATTTAAAGGCATTTACATTGAAATCAGGTAAACAACAGTTACACTCAACAGTAAATGCCTCCTCCTTTTTGAGGGGCCAAAAGTAAACTTTTAACTTATGACTTGGAAGGCCTTTGCAGTCAGTTACAGCCCAAAGTCCAGACCTAATTTGAATGCGTTAATTTTGGCAGAATCAAGACGACTAACAATTATGTTGCGTTAGGACTGTTGATAGTCAGACGCTTGTATTGAAAAAACACGTGCGCGCATGTGTTTGTGCGTCTCAGGGTTCAGATGAAGGAGTCCTTGAAGCCCCAGCGTTTATCACAGCAGCTGGAGCGAGCCATCACGACCGTCTACAAGCCTGTGGCCAACCACGACTTCAACGTGAGAGCGACATTCCTCCCACGCCTGGCAAAAATGTCAGCGTCCATCCGTACACCTCGGAGCAACCTTAGTGATGACCTCCGATGTGTTCCCCAGGTGGAATATGAGAAGAAGAAGAAATCCGAGGGCAAGATGGTGAGAGCTGAGCGACAGGTGGTGTTGGACATGCTCTTCTCTGCGTTTGAGAAGCACCAGTACTACAACATAAAAGATCTGGTGGACATCACCAAGCAACCCGTGGTGAGCAAAACGCACGAGCACAAACGGTGCCGACGGCAACCGTGCAACAAACAAACAAACAATACACCTGCCCACTATCCACCTTGCTTTGTTCCATTTGCGCCAATCGCCCACAGCATGACGTTTGTGTGTGTTCACACTATCTGCTGTGGCTTCAATTTGGGCCAGTTCTCTTTTCTCTTCCACACACACACACACACACACACACACACACACACACACACACACACACACACACACACACGGGTTGCTTCGATAACAGTGGATTTGTTCCAGCGAGCAGAGAACAGCAATGTGTAGGTGCTGATGAGAATGAGACCTTGAGGTCCTCCGCTCCCTCTGATTGCATAACCATTGCCTGAGTGGGAGACAAACGCCGCACTGCACTCCATGCCACCATTCCTCTCCCAAAGCACTTGGCTAGCACTCCAATTAACTGAACTGAAGTAACTGAAATGCCCATTGTCAAAAGTCTTGCTGTTCAACAAACAGTGTGCAGACGGCGGACAGTGCTCTAGAAGCACCACAGCGACACCCTGTGGAGGTTTATTGACTAGGTCGCTGTGTCCAACATTTATGAAGCCAACTCAAATCCTGTCTGGTTCAAGATAGAGGGCTGTCCAGTGACATTTCGGTCTTTTATGGGTTTATCCTCGCCTTTGACATTTTATTCAACTGGCTTTTTTTTTCCCTCATACAGTGCATCTGTAGCGTATTCACAACAGCACTTCACTTTGTCCATATACAGTGCATCTGTAGCGTATTCACAACAGCACTTCACTTTGTCCACGTTTTGCGATGTTACAGCCTCATTCCAAAATTTGACATAAAGCACCCAAATGGTTGTGGAAATTTTGCAAAGTTATCACCAATAAAATAGGAACTCACGTATACATTAGTCCATAGACTTTGCCACGGAGCTCAAAATTGAACTCAGGTGCACCATTTTTCCAATGATCATCCCTGAGAGGTTCCTATACCTTAATTGGGAGTCCAATTGTGGTAAATTCAATTGATCGGACATGATTTGGAAAGGCACAGGCCTGTTACAGTGGCACCGGTTACGGTACATGTCAGCAACCCACCTGGAGGTTACCGAAAGGCAAGAAGACTCAGACCACGAGAAAGAAAAATCTCTGGTTTGATGATTCAAAGATTGAACGGTGTGGCACGAATGCCAGGGGTCATGTTTGGAGGATGCCAGGCATTGCTCATGACCTGACCAAATCTATCCCGACAGTGAAGCACGGATGGGCAGAATCATGCTGTGAGGATGTTTTTCAGTGATAGGACCTGGAAAACTAGTCAATACTGAGGCAAAGATAAATGCAGTAATATATAGAATGCGATGAATCTAACATAGCAAAATGTGGAAAAAGTGAAGTGCTGTCAAGAGTTCCGGATGGACTGTTCCTCGCTGGCATGATACATTTGTCAAAAATTATTTTCTGACCAAATAGGTGTTATTGGAAAAACTCCAGTCACACCTGATGATTTCCCAGCACAAAAGACAGGTTGGGAAACAGTGCACTCAGCACTCTACAACCTACCCAAAATTAGAAACTCAGTTGCAATAGCACGGCTGTCAAACTTAATTCCATAATCTTGATTGTCCTCGGGTTAAAACTCATAGTTCAGCATGCAGCTTGGGTCTTCCAAGTTCGCGGTTCAATTCACATTTGTTGCAGAAAAGCCTACTGAGCTTTTGTTCATACATCAAGAATTCAAGTCTTTTTTTTATATAGGCAAGTGCAAATTGAATAGTTGCTTCGTCTTAGGCAATAATAGATGCACACGGGTGCAGCAGTAACAGTTTGAACAGAAAGAATTGTACGCTAAATATTTGCATTTGCTTTGGCTGTTTTCGTTATGGCGTATGGGCAATGCTATTTTTTTTTTTTGAGTCATGCCTTCTGCTTGCCAGAAGTTCAGATGCACTGTTTATATACTAGGCGAGCATCCAAGGCAGGTACGCTTCCTGTCCCTTACCTAATATGTTCCGCGTCCCTATCATATTAGATAATCGGCCCTGAATTTGATTATTAGCTCATTTATTGCAAGTTTTAAACAAAAGTTTTTAAAAAAAACGGCAAGATTTCGTGGGCCTCGCATGATTTGCATCCCCGGTTTGACACCTGTGGGCTATAAAGGGGTCATTTCAAATTTCATTGACACGCTGCAATCCAGGTTCAACTTCTCAGCTGATCGGTATTGAGATCTTGAAAGTAAAGGCATGTTTCTGCAATGTCCCGTAGACCTACCTGAAAGAGATCATGAGGGACATTGGTACATACAACAGCAAAGGTGCTCACAAAAGCACATGGGAGCTAAAAGCAGAGTACAGACACTACCGGTCAGCTGAGGAGGAGGAGGAGGAGGAGGAAGAAGAGATGCAGACGGCCTAACTTCCATTTACAAGCAACTTTTTTTTTTCTTCCTGCCAGTATGACACACTCTTGGTACTTCAGTTATGCAGTAGACTTTATTATGGTTTAGCTATCAGGATTATTTTTTTCTTTTCAGTGATGCCAACGCAAGCCTTTGCCTCCATGTTGGAGAGTCCAGTAAAGTTCATTTTCAACATTGGCGTCTTTCTTTTGATGTTGCTATGGCAACTGCGGATCCCCACCGTCAGCCATGCTCACAGAACACATGGGGTGAAGTCATGCTGCGTTGATTTTAAAATCTACAACCGCTATCTGACCGCACCCAAAGCCAGACACGTGCACGGGGACGCTTACGTGTTAAAAGCAGATGCAACACTTGCCGGCGGTGGTAATTGTCTAAAATGTGCGCCAGCCTTTGAATGATGGGTGCAATTGACAAGTGTGTTGACGTGCACTTACTGATCCACGACACTAGATGGCAACGGCTATACTCGCCTCTCATTTCGATTTTTAACAAGGAAGATACATGAACTGTGCACGGGCATTTAGACTTTGAAAATTATTTATTGGAATGGACTAGTTTAAGTGATGTTGCTGATGTTGGAATGTACCAGTATTCTAATTCAATGCCAAACCAAAAGCCGGCTGTTATTTTGTTTTGGGCCTTAGTATTGACCATTTTAGGACAACTTCCACAAGAAAGTTCAGATTTGACAAACCCATTTTTGTCGCGGGCCACTTTTGAGTTGCGTCTTCCCTCTGAGGGCCGTTTTGTTTTATCTCATTATCACATTATTACTTGTAAGGGTAACAAAATTATTGCAACACCTCAACATTTATTACACATGACAATTCACTCCTTTTTTTTTTTAGCAAGGATCATACAAGTTGACACACATGATTTTCTTTCAGGGGGCCACGCAAAATGCGGAGCGTGGATGCGTATTTGGAACTGAGAGTCACCGCTTGGAATTGATGCGGATTTACATGGGACAGGAGAGGTGAACCAATCTCTTTTTTCATCACTGGACGCCACAGCTTCTTGCTGAGTTTCAAATTTAGCTTGTAGCCAACGTGCACATTTTGAGCATGACGTCTGATCCACTGGTGAAAGGACACTTTGATTCTCTCTTCTTTCATCTATAATTGCTTCAAACAGCAAAATGTATGTATGAGGGAGTGGTTAAGATTGCACGACTGTGTTTTTATGTTAGGAGTTATTTTACTTCATGTTAACTGTTTTCTAAAGTGCTTTGTTACAGCTGCAGCTATTGTGAAAGTGCTATATAAATCAGGATGTATTGTACAGTGTATGTGGCAGGCCAGATCTGACCCCCAGGCCTTGGGTTTGATACCTGTGATCTGGAGTGTTTTCCATCTATTTTAGTAACTGATTTTCTCAAGCCTTTTCAGTGTCAAAGGGGAGTTTTTTCCCTTCATCCATCTTCAAACTAGTACATGTTTGCATGCGACGCTGTAGAAAAAAAATCTGGTTTTGAGGCATTGTGTCAAAATGAACCACAAAAAAAATTGCACTCAATTCAACAGTTGTCTTCACAATTAGCTTTATGCAGCCCGATTAGTCAGGGCTCAGGTAACAACTAATCGCGTCTCAATTTCTGAAAACAGTTGGTCAGCGATTGGTCATTAATTCATCCTTGAGCAACTGATGTCGTTTTCCTCTGACAGCAAGTGGCAAAAATATCCGGCCCCCGAGATGGCTAAAAACAGACGGGTTTTGCCGCTGAACTCCTATTCCGCAAACTTGGTATTAACCGGAATACTGTTTGTTCGGGGGGGGGGTGTAGAACATATTACTGTATTGACAATTTTTGGGTTGATGTCCCCTTTCAAAATAATTTGTGTACATGTCTAGTTTGACTGCAACCTTACCCCAAACCCTTGCAGTCCTCGATCACACAGAATGTATTTGCTTACTAGTTACTGAAGCCAATATCCCAATTAGTCACATAAGTTCGTCAATCCCATTAAAAAAAGTAAACAAGCAAAAAATGGTACTCCAGATTTATTTCCAACTTAAAGCCATAATGGAGATGAAATTTTGAATGCAACCATGTACCCAGAGTGTGGAGGAAAGCAGTCATTTTTGCCCGATGTCAAAAAAGTCCAAATCTGGGAGCTTTGAGAATTTTCCTTCAGTTTTACTGACAAAAAAAGTCAAATCTATTCGCCAAGGGAAAAAAGTTAAAACTATTGTTCACCGGGCCATGATGTAAATATAGCAAATGATGCATTCTGCTCTCGGTGCGTTTAGGGAGAAGCAGCAGCAGCCAGTTGATAAACAGGTTAGTCCATGTCGTTACTGCAAAAACAACAATCAATGATTTAGAAATAGTATGCAACATTTGGCATAGTAGTACATTTAACATTTGTCCTTGTGTACTTACACATTTCTCAGGTCTGACGCCATCTTTAAAGAAGCGCATGAAAGGTGTGACATTGTCCTCACGGTAGTCCAGGATTGCAACCATGCCGTCAGTGTTCAAGGACTCCCCTATGAAAAACTGACATGAAGACAACTGGGATTAAAGAAAGACAAGACACTATAAAAAAAACGAGCAGGTGAGCAGTCTTTTTTTTTTTTTTTTTTGCTTCAGTGCAAATCATCAAAATGGTTGGTTTGTATGAGGCCCCAGAAGACTATAGTTGGTTTCCCAGATGACATTTTTAAAAGAATCTTTATTGCTCGAGTAGGGTTCAAATGCATTTCCTTCTTCTGAAGCCTGTCTGCTGTTGATTTGCTTTTGTTAGACAAATTATCTGCAAAACGGAGGATGTTCAGCACCGTTACGTTCCTATGTACAGCACGTTTTATACGGCGATGGTTGTTTTAAAAGGGCTCGATAAATACAGTTGAGTTCTAAGTAGAAGTCGTCCAGTAAAAATGACTGCAAGAAAACAGAGCAGAATGCTGAATGAGGCAAAGAGAATTCTAACGTGTCGGCTGAAGAAATCGCAATCCACGTATATGCCTCAGAGGCGGTCCTTGAACGCCTCTCGAGTAAAACGACAGAAGAGAAGGCACGGAGACGGAGAAAGACATGTCTGTGTTGGTTGAGACTGAAAAGCATAAAGTATCCGTTTTAAAAACCAACACCACAGCTCTACTTTTTCAAAGCTGTAACATATGTCAGCTTGCCCATCTACCTGGTGTTACTGTTGTAGCGACGCCACTCGAGCGAAGCGCGCCTCAGCAGTCGATAGTCCGCTGCTCTCTGCTATGCATGCGAACATGTACGCACACACGCGTCTTTTGGTTTCAACCAATCACCGCCAACGCAATGGACGTCACACATCAAAGAAACTTTGAACTATGACAACAGCTAAAATAAGATAACCGAGACGGCACAACGCTCCAAGTCGGACGCACGCGTTTTTCTGCTAATCTGTGTTTCCTTTTTTGTCCAAATATATATATTTTTACTACAACAGCTGTCTTGTCCAAGGCGTCTTTAATTCGTTCCACTGGGGTTTAGCAAGTGTGTTTATAAAGAGCCGAAAAGATCTTCTGTTACTGGTGTTAGTGCCTCAACACGGCTACGCTCGTGACATCAAAACAACGAACTCAAACGCGTGTTCGTTCAATGTTGTCAACTAAAACCCGGATTAATTTTAGGCAATTTCCCCTCAATTTTCCGGAGGAATTTTAATGAAAATTTGAAAATCCGGTATTCCGCAGACATGCCGAAAGCTGAAGTTAAATAAATCAGAAGATGGGGACTGTGAGCTGATCCTCAAAAATAAGGTTCATCCAAAAGAAGGAAGATTTGAAAAGCATCCCCGCCCCTGTATGTTTTGCAGTGAGCGCGTGCACATGTAGTTACTTGTAAATCCTTGAAACCTCCTTGGAGAAGCTTTTTCACTTCATTATTGGCGTCAAGCATAAACTGCTCCACTCTTTCAGGGTTGGTTTCTTGCATCTTTGCCTTTATGCTGAACAAGAAAGGAAATGCTTGAGACGGCGCACCAGAACATCCCTTTAAAGTATGCCAATCGATATAGAAAGACAAGACGGCTAAGCACGGGGTGACGCACCTCTTGAGGTATGCCTTGATGTGGGCGAGGTAACTCTTCTTGTCGTAGGTAGTCTCCTGCAGCTTGCTGTAAAGGACGATGTTCACGCCAGATGTCACAGACACATCTGTGGTCTCCGCTTGCTCCTCAGTCGATGCGTTACCGCCGATTAAAGAGTCGTCGATGTCCCCTGAGGTGGTGGTGACGACCTAAAACACAAGTGGGACAATTTAGTAGGCATCACCAGTTGTTGAAGTTTGCTTTTCAAATGGCTGAATAATATTGCACGCTAGAGCAATCCAATGGATTTTTTTGAGAGGGTGCATTCCAGAAAGGAATCCAACCTCTTCATTGCGGGCATGCAAATTGTCACCCAAGGTCAATGTTTAATTATTACAAACTTAATGCCCTCGTCCTAACGCACATGCACACACATTCGTTTCCATGGTTAATTTGTGATTCATAACACATTTTGTATCTGCATTAAATGTACAAAAAATATATATTCTTTCAAGTTTTTCATACTCTTACTTATTAGCACCTTTATTCCCCATGATATAAAAGTACAATAAGTAAAGCTACTTCGACTGCCTACCAATGATGTATCTTTTAAAATTTGTCCAGCGTGTGGCAGCTGTAAGAGATCAGCCAGGATCATGCTGCAGAACAAGTAGAAGTAGAGGAGGGATGCGGTTGCGTGTAGTTTCTAGAGAGTGCATTTGAACCAGTCGGGATGGAGAAATCAAAACAATGAACTCGTGAGGATTGCTTTTGGGGAAGAAATTCTTCCACCATGAAGAGGGACGTTTTCATCCGTGCAAAAGTAAGAAGCAGCCATCAAAGAGGCTCCATGTGCACGAACATAGTCTGCCTCATGCAAAAGCCAAACCGCAGCGAAGGTGCCTTCGCAAAGGCAAGCAAAGTTCAGCAGTTCAATAGAGTGAAGTGTTATTTGTGATGCAGCTTTCCAACCAACGGGCCAGAAATAACACCAGTTACACTGGGCATCTTCAGGCATCGATTAAAATACACCTCAATTCTAAAGAGGAAGTGACTTGGGGTCATTGCAAGTGACAAGCCAGGCATACTTCTTTCTACCCACAATCTTGCTGCTGAAGGCTGTAAATTTCCCCAGTGTGGGACAAATAAAGGATATCTTATCTTATACACTTGGCCCATGCAGACCCCTTGGAGAGCTGGGTCAGCCAAGCTGAGTTCTCAGTGCTAACTCGCATCCTACCAAAGGTGTCTTAATTTAAATCAGGCACCTGGACACAGTTTTTTCTTTTTAAATGACATTTTGCCTTAATTTTCACATAATCCATTTAATCACTTAATTCTTTTGAATGACCAGCAGAAATCCCAATTTGGGATAAATTAAGTGAAATGAAACAACTTCCGGCTGCTCAAAAGTGGGGAATCACTGCAGTACGTTCTGAACATTAGTGGGTGAAATATTTTTGAGCTCTTAATAGCAGTGCTTCTGAATTTAGAACAGGGCCAGATCAGATACCCTCACTGGCCAGGAAATGATCCTCCACCTCTGCATTTAGGTGAGCTCCTATCAGAAGTCTTAATTGTGTCGCCATGTAGCTATGTTAGTCATTCACGTGTTGTGTGATGTTTCGGCAGCAGATGACTAACAAACATGATGAGGTGTCCATGAGTCATTGAGCTAACATAGCAAAACATTTCTTCCTTGTACCATGCATGTTACTGGCCTACCTTTCCTTCCACTTCATAGAAGATTGCAGTCTCCTTGATCGGGAAGATGTCTGAGAACATCTCATCCTCTAAGCATGAATGAGAAACATTTTTATGGGGAAAATGAGTTAATTTTATTCAATACCAGATGACACGTCCAGCTTACGAGTTTCAAATCAGCGCCCTAATGTAGTGACAGCCTTACTAATCATGTTTTTCCACGACAGTTAATAAATTTTGGCTTAGTGGTTAGTAAGACAACTGTATGCTACCAATTAGGTAAAAATGGGAATTAGGTGACACGATACTAGTAGTGCTACTAGTGACGCACTTTGAATACTAGTGCACCGTTGGGCCTAACTATTAACACAGTTTGCCTACGAGTATGACGAAATTAAAGACGGGCGGTTATTGAGTGCGCCGGATTGTCCAGAGGGTACTAGTACGTGCTGTAGACCTTAAATTGGCTATCAACTAAACGCCCAAACGGTCTCTAGGTATAAACGTACGCCAATAAAGCAGATGGGGGAGAAGATTCTCGTCGGTGTGACGCTAATGCTAAGTTTAGATCGATCATGAAGACATCTTCCCTCAGCGTTTAAACTACTGTACAAGCGAGCGAGTACTACTACACGACTCCGGGGCGCCATCAACGTTCAGAAGGAGCCGTCTCAAACGTTACACGATTTATTTAAACTGTAACGGTAACCCTCGAACAATGGTCGCCGTAATGGCGTCATCTTTTTAGCATTAGCATTAGAACCACGACGGCACGAGTTAGCTGGGCGGCGAATTAGCGGACGCTAGCTAAGAACTGTTTTGAAACATTTTTTTTAACCTCTCAAATAACTTCCGCGACGGCGATTGTGAAAGCAATAAGGGGGGGAGGTAGATCAAGAAACGACCTACCGCTGATGATACACTTGTAGATGATCATTTTTGCCGCTTTGGTGTTCAATCTTGCCGCGACAGAAACCAAGCCGCCCCAAACCAAACGCGAGAGGAAAAGGCCGAGTAGGCCACGATGCGGACCATTTACATCCCGTTGACGTCATCATGGGGGTGGGCTATTGCTAACTTTTGACTCGCGGACTTTGCTGCCATACTCACGGTGTGGCCAAGGCCGGTACTACACCAAAGTAATCACTTTTTTTCCGGGTTTTTTTTGGACCGTGGTGAAACAACGAAATGTTGCCTTTGCTCGAAATCCCGCTACAGCTGAGACAATTTCAAACTCATTTTAAACCGCTAGTGCTGAATTTTTTTACACGAAATTATTAACTTTGTACAGCACTTAAACCGCATCTGAAATAATACAACACATCCTGATTTATATAGCGCTTTCACAAAAGCTGCAGCTGTAACAAAGTGCTTAACAAAACAGTTAACATAAAGTAAAATAATAAACACAACACTAAACATAAAAACACGGACAGTCGTGCAATTTTAACCACATTTCCCTCATACGCTTTGTTGTTTGAAGCAGTTTTAGATGAGAGAGAGAATCAAAGTGTCCTTTCACCAGTGGCTCGGAGACGTCATGCTCCAAAATGTACACACGTCGGCTACAACCTAAGTTTCAAAGTAAACAAGAAGCTGCAGCGTCCATTGACGAAAAAAAGCGATTGGTTCACTTCTCCTGTCCCAGGTAAATCCAATTCAATTGCAAGCCGCGACTCCCAGCTCCAAATACGCATCTGCGTTCCGCGCCGATCCGACGCTCCTCTCTCCTCATCCTCAACTGCCCGTGACAGGCGCAGAAAACAGAAGCACCCCGGGGCTGTCCAGTTCCGACAGTCCAAATGGCGATCGAAATTCCTCCCAATCAGAATCGGTCAGTGCTGGTTCACGCGCTGCTGAGAAGGCGCAACCACCAAGCAGATTATTATCTTTTGACGAATGCCGTGGCCAAAAAAAAGATGAAAACAATCCACATCACGTAACACCAAACACCATGTGACAAAATAAAAGTTAAAAAAAAAAAAAAAAAAAAAAAGCAAGGCTCTTGAAGAGCACTTGCCTACGGCTGCCAACTCGAGCGCCATCTGGGAAGAAAAAAATGTACAAACATACAGTTCAACAAACAAACGTGCAGTAAAAATTAAGATTAATCCGACGATCAAAGCACATCTGTAGCGTTCTGTATACGTTAAAATATTTATCTCTGGTATTAATTATTATTTTTTTAATTGTCATGTTATTGTCATACAATTGTTCCAGGTGAAGCACTTAACATACAGTACAAATTGTTTTTGGATATTTACAGGTTTCCCACTCTTCCATTTGATTTTTATTTATGGACCTTTTAAGGACTTTTGAGGGCTAATTTAGCCAATTTTTAAGGACTTTTTCTCCATTCAGCAGGCGATTCACAGTGGATTTAAAGAACAGAAAGCCACATATCACTGAGCTGGTGTTCAAATCATTGCTGCCAAAGGAAGGGCACATATTTATTTTTAGGGGCAATCAGCTAACCCTTTATTTGACATACTGTGTGTCAAATTGACGGCAACCATTATTTGACATACTGTATGTCAAATTGGCCCAAAATGACTCGAAGATATCATGTGATCATCATCGGAACTGACCGGCGACGGCAGGAAAAGCAGAGCGGGAACCAGGAAGGCATGTAGCACGACAGTGGGGTTTGAGGGGAAGGGCGCCAGGCACATTTTCCGACAAAACTATTAATTGGAAAGTTGGGGAAAATGACATACTCAGATGAAATGAACACCACAGGTTGACTGGTTTTAGAAGCTTTCCCTGAAAATTAAGAGCAATTAAGAACATAAGTTTACAACTTCTTTTTTGCTGCATTTTTATTAACTTTAAACACCCGTGGGAACCCTGTAGAGCAGGGGTGTCAAACTCATTTTTGTCACGGGCCACATTGTGGTTACGGTTTGCCTTGGAGGGCCGTTATGAATTTTGGGAAACCACATATGTGTTTAATCACCTCTACATATTACATACACAGTGCACAACAAATTGATGAATAAGTTTCAAATCAGAAATCAAGAATAATGACTGTTATTGTGGATTACGTATGACAATTTGACATTTTGGTTCAGACTGCAAGCATCATGGAACTTGACATGCTTTATTTGCTTTCACGGGCCACATAAAATGATGTGGCTTCAGAGAAAAACGGACGACCTCAATGGCAGTAATGGAGCTTGTGGAAGCAATAGCCACTAATATAGACAATAAAGAATTTACTGTTGGGATTTTTCTAGATCTAAAAAAAAGCTTTTGATACAATAGATCATAGTATATTATTGAATGCATTAGAGAGATATGGTATTAGAGGCATAGCATATATATGGATTGAAAGTTATTTAGAAAACAGGTATCAGTACGTGCAGTTCAACAATAAAAAAAAAAATCTAACCTACTGAAGATTACCCATGGAGTTCCTCAGGGGTCTGTGCTTGGACCAAAACTATTCATCTTATATATAAAAGATATCTGTAGTGTCTCAAAACAATTCAAATGTGTCCTATTCGCTGATGATATAACTTTCTACTGCTCTGGAGAAAATATGAAACAGCTCCTCAAAACTGTGGAAAATGAATTAAACAAATTAAAAAACTGGTTCGACAGGAATAAATTATCACTAAATTTGAAAAAATCTAAATTAGCTGTTTTTGGCACGAGACCAATTAAACACCAAGTTAAAATACAGGTAAACTCAATTGAAATAGAACGAGTGTATGAAAATAAGTTTCTTGAATTAGTAATAGATACTAAACTATCCTGGAAGCCGCACATAGACAACATTAAAAGTAAAATATTCAAAACTATAGGGATCCTCCACAAAACTAAGGATGTGTTAAATAAAAGATCTTTGTACACATTATACTACTCATTATTGCTTTCATATATGACCTACTGTGTGGAAATATGGGGAAACGCTTCCAAAACAAACACACTCCCTGTTTTAAAACTACAAAAAAAAAAGCAATCAGAATAATCAATAGATCTAAATATATAGAACCCACGAATCCACGATTCATCAAATCAAACACAATGAAATTCTATGACCTGGTTGACTTTAAAATCGCCCAATTAATGTACAAAGTACCTAATAACCTCCTTTGCCAAAACATGCAGAAGATTTTTGAAATTAGAGAAAGTTGTTATAATTTAAGGAGTACTAACCAATACAAAAAATCCAAAACAAGAACAAACATCAAGCAAAGGAGTATATCAGTAATAGGTGTCAATCTGTGGAATAATTTCGAAACGGACCTGAAAATGAGTAAATCGCTTGTCGAGTTCAAAAACAAATTCATTATTTTAGTACAAAAAAACTACACAAATCAGAGTTAAGCCAATAAATGTGATATACTTTTAAAATATAGTAATACATCAGAATTACATTGATCAACTTATTAAATGTATTAATGAAATGTAATATTTATTATGAAAATGAAAAAATTGACATAAAAATGTGCAAGAGTGAGTATGTATATACAAACCGAAAGTTGTATAAATAGATAAGTACAGTACACATAAGGATAAAACAATTTGATGATATGTTGATTTTTCCTTTCTTTCTTGTATTGAAAAAGGATCAATTCATATGTTACTACATAACAAGGGGTAGGACTAGATAAGTTTCTTACTTATTCCTACTCCTTTGAACATAAAATTGTGATGATGACTGTTTTTTCTTTTCCTTTTTACAATTTTTGCTTGCCTTCACTTTTGTCAATTTGTTGTTGTATTGTGTGTTTTATATATTCAATAAACAAACAAACCAAAAAAAAAAAAAAATCCGGCCCCCAGGCCTTGACTTTGATACCTCTGCTGTAGAATGATCATGACCAGCCTGGTAGTCGAATTGTTCGTGTGTCAGCGTTGTGCTGCAGAGGTGCAGGGTTCGAATCCGGCTCCGACCTTCCTGTGCATTCTCAAAAATGTGCATGGCGGTGCATTTTCTGATCCTCTTCTCCGCAAAATTATTCGTACTCACACTCACATCTACGGACAATAGTGTTTGCTCATCACCTGACTGGTAGACAAATGTTTAGTGCGTCGGCTTTGCACTGCGAAGCGGTAGGGTTCGATTCCAGCTCCAGCCATCCTGTGTGTTCTCAAAAACATATATGGCTATCCATTTTCTGATCCTCTTCCCCGCAAAACTAATCGCGCTCACACTCACACTGAGGGACAATACAGAGCATTCATTCCCTACCAGAAAGTCGAATGGCTCGTTCGTTGGTCCCGCGCTGCCTAAGTGCATGGTTTGATTCTGGTCATCCAATGCGTTCTCAAAAATGTGTGTGGCCATCCATTTTCTGATCCTCTTCTCCGCACAACTATTCGCGCTCACACTCACACCAAGGAACAATTTACAAAACGGCTGACGATACATGGTCGTTTTTTGCCGACTAAAAACGCCTTACTACACATGGTCGTTTTTTTCAGCCAAAAAAGCCTTATTATACACGGTCGTTTTTTTCGGCCTTGAACACCTTACAATGAATGGTCGTTTTTTTCGGGTAATCCACTATCCACATACGCCCCTCCTCCACTATACGCCCTTTCTACTACTTCTGCTGCGTGATCCTCGTGGATTTTTGCACCACTGCTACCCGATGGCCATTTTTTTGCTATTTAACATTGCCGTCAAGCCTAATCCTTTGGTGAGAAGTTGCATCAGACTCTCTTGCACCCTCCCCCATGAAAAAACGTGATTGACGTATTAATACGTCATTGGGAGGGAACGGCTATGCGCTAATTGACGTATTTATACGTCAAAGGGTGTAAATGAGTTAATATACATGGTGGTTTTTTTGGCTTAAAACGCCTGACTATACATGGTCGTTTTTTTTGTTCTAAAAACACCTGACTATACATGGTCATTTTTTTCGGCTAAAAACGCCTTACTATACATGGTCGTTTTTTTTTTCCTAAAAACGCCTTCCTATATAAATATATATGGTCGTTTTTTTCGGCCAAAAACGCCTTAATATACATGGTCGTTTTTTTGGCTTAAAACGCCTTTATACATGGTCGTTTTTTTTGTTCGAAAAACGCCTTACTATACATGGTCGTTTTTTTCGGCCAAAAACGCCTGACTATACATGGTTGTTTTTTTCGGCCAAAAACGCCTTACTATACATGGTCGTTTTTTTAGGTCAAAACGCCATACTATACATGGGGTTTTTTTTCGGCTAAAAACGCCATACTGTACATGGTCGTTTTTTTTTTCTAAAAACGCCTTACTATATATACATGGTCGTTTTTTTTTTGCCTAAAAACGCCTGACTATACACGGTCATTTTTTTTCGGCCAGAAACGCCTGATGTCCATGGTCATTTTTTTCGTCCCAAAACACCATACCATACATGGTCGTTTTTTT